TTGTAACAAATTTTTAGAATTTTTAGCGAAAAACAACCTGTTTTTTACTTGAAAACATGGATAAACGCTCAAAGAATAACTAGATTTTTAAACTGAAAATGGAATTTTTTAGCTTGTTTTATCAAAATCTCCAAGAAATAAGCAAAAGCAAAAGCTTTTAAATTTATTGTTTAGAAATGTGTTTGATTTTTTGAAAAGTGACAAAAGTAACATCACTTTTGCTCCAAATATGTGATTTACTAATTTGCTTTCGCAACCTTGCAAAAAATGTAAAATTTTCAAAAATGTTTACCATTTAAAATTGTCTTTTTAAAAGTAAAATTTAAAAACAATAAAATGTAAATAAATGATTTATCAGTTTCTTTTAACAAAAAGGTGAAAATTTTAGAATTTTCAGCTCAAACAACATGCTTAGGTAAACATAAGAAAAAAATATAAAGAATGTTATTTTTAACTTAACAAAATAATTTTTTATCCAGCTTAAGTAAAATTTTACGAAAAAATTAATTTTTACTTAAATAACCAAATTTTTAGCTCAAAAATACGCTTCAACAAAGCAAAAAATGTCATTTGCCACCCGAATAAACGACTTTTCAGCTTGTTTTAGAAAAGGAAATGATTTTTTCCATTTCGTCATTAATTTAGTTTTGTCATTATTGATTTAATGTATGTTTTTAATTTTGTGTGTTATTTTCTAACTTTGTTAAAAAATTGTAGGTGTAAACCTTCGAAATTTTTTTTACTAAAAAATAATGATTAACTTTTCGTGTCCCAAATTTTAAATGAAACATTTTTACTGTTTTTTTTTTAATATTATAGAACAGACACTTCAATCTTTTATTAGTAGTTCATTTTTCCAAAAACATGTCAATCAATTTCTGTAAAAATGAATAATTAATGGAAACTTTTACATCAAAAAAATGTTTAAATGTTAAACAAACACCAATAATTGGTTAACTGCTGGTTTCGTATGTGCAAAATATGTGTTTTTGCGATTTACCTTGCCAGGCTCCTCTGCTAATGGGCCGTTTCCCCAGCTTCAACCAGGTCACGTGGGGATTGGGAGCACCAATCGCCGAGCAGTGCAATCGAACATTTTCTCCCTCGTGTACCACAATGGGCCCCATTGGAGTCGCTTGAGCTCCTGAAACAAATCGATTATTAGTTAAACGAAAGAAACTGATTCCGATAATCCATAAAAACGGAGATGTCACCACCAGCTCGTAAAAGTCACTAAATCCATCCCGTGTCTGGATTTACGACTACTAAGAGAGGGACCGGAAGGTACCGCGACGGGAAAAATTGATTCCGCTCTCAAATCTCACACGAGGGTGTTAGTTTTGCTGAATTATGAATGCGGTAAGATTAGAAAAACGCCGGCATAAATGGGAATTCTTAGTGGATAAGTGAAAATCCACTATTGTAATGGATATAAAATTAAAATTTTGTTGGACGTTATTTGCATAATACTTTAGTGATTTATGCTTCGCGGCATATCCAACAAAGGATTTTAAATGAAATTCGGGATTATACGGGATTTGGCGGGCTCAGCTCGTTCGTTTCTCTGGCGGTTACATTCTTTATCAGAAAAAAGTAAATAAAATGCTTTCGCTTTTAATTGAGTCAATGCTTAAAACTGATTAGATTTAGCCACAAGCGGATAAATTTACTGGTAAGGCTCGGATTATATGCATGAAAAATTCGTAAAATATACGCATATACAGGGTGTGTCAGAACTGGCGCTCCAGAGAAAAAATCAAGTAAGATAAGATACCAGGGACATGAAAAAAAAAGTACAAAATTTAAACTCTCATAACTTTTTTTTAACATTTTTTTCATGTTCCTGGTATCGTATCTTACATGGCATTTTTCTCTGGGACACGAGTTCTGGCGCACCCGGTATATTTAAAAAAATATGCGCAACAAATGTATTAAGAAATCTGCTCCAATTTATGTCAAATAGGCAAAACTTTTACCAATAAAAAATCAAAGTTGGGATAAATATTTATCCTCGAGTACTTTAAAAAACTTTAAACTTTATATTTTCGACATCTTGAACTGCACCCGATAAAAAAGAATAAATAAATTGATTTTGTCTCAGACAAGCCATTTTAATAACCAGTAATTAAGCCTTTCTAAGAAATCTGTACTTTTCAGATCACATCACTTTAAACAATTTCGTTAAAATTCATTTGCAGGCAACTACTTATCCGAATATTAGGATAACAGCCACACCAGGTGAATAAAAAGTATGGAACCAAACGTTTTTTGATTATACTATTTATTTTTTGGAAAAACTAACTGAGGAATGATAAAGTACTATAAGAATGTGATGTTAAGAATAAACTTTTTCGAATTTTGTTTTTGAGTTTTTTCTTGAGTTTTTCAAATATATTGATTTTTTTTTAAATGGCAACCCACTAAGAGACATTTTTTTCATGAAAATTATGATCTAAGGATTATCTACTGTCCATAGTCCGATCAAAATAGACATTTCAAATAACAAAAATTCCGTTACAGAGCAGAGTACACCATTAGAAATAAAGTGTCAAAAGTCCCTATCGATTCCATGTGCGCTAAAAAAGTTATTCGGGGTCAAAGGTCAAAATTTGAGGTTTTATGGATTTCCTTCGAAAATGGTAAGTTTTATCAAAAAAGTAGTCCAGACAAAAAAGATAGACCTTAAAATTATCTACAAAAAAGGTCCTAATACTTTTTTTTCTAAGAATCACCATTGCTGAGATATCGCGATTTTAAAAGTTGAAAGAGTCACTTTCTATATGATATATGCACATACAGAGTGCGCCAGAACTCGCGTCCCCAAAAAAAATGCCATGTAGGGTAAGGTACCAGGAACATGGAAAAAATTAAAAAAAAATTCTATCTATAAAAATTTCGAAGTTATGAGAGTTTAAATTTTACAYTTTKCCTTTATTTTTTTCTGTTGGAAAAACAATTTTCCAAGTTTTTTTGCTACAGGCTATTASAAGAGGAATCAAGGAAGCTRTATCCTAAATTGTAACTCTGTTCAATGTTATTTGTGGCTTTCATTGACAAAATTTTTGTACATTTAGTAAATAATTATAAAAAAACATATACAAGATCATCAGTATCATTAAATAGACATAAAAAAATGTGAAATGTCAAAAAATAAATGTCAAATTTTTTTGACAGTTATAGTTTTTTCAACATTTTTTTAGTACTCTGGAGACTACCCAATAACTCCCTTTCAAGGAAATGCGCGATTTTTTGGACACCTGTATGTATTACCAAATAAATTCTTTTTAATTCTATTGGAATCGAGATATTTATACGTTCAATGAAGTAGAAGGAAAATTTCAAGTAAGATAAGATACCAGAAACATGGAAAAAATGTTTAAAAAATTCTATCTGTCAAAAAATTTTGACATTTATTTTTTGACATTTGACATTTTTTTATGTCTATTTAATGATACTGATGATCTTGTATATGTTTTTTTATAATTATTTACTAAATCTACAAAA